TTTGCCACAGCACATGTGTTGAACAGTACATATGCATGCTAATTACGTACAGTTACACATATGTTCACCTACAACTTACCGAAGTGGCCTGTAACCATCCCGCTCCCAACATTTCATTTCACAGATTGTCCTGACATATTAAGGTGCATTGCGCGAAGCCAGAGCCGACACCAGGTTGCGATTACGGTCGGAACACGCAATGTTGTGCGCCGTCAAGGCCACGGCTCGGCTTTGGACGAGTGGCTCGATAAATGAGGCGACACAAGCGCGCTGAAGTGGCTCCCGCCAGCGTTGTGCGCGCACACGAACCACACCACCTTACGCAAGCCGGGCGCCGCCATCAGACGTGTTGCGCTAGCTCTGGCTCTCTCAGGGTGCCCGCTGCCATCAGACGTGCTACGCTAGCTCTGGCCCTCTCGGGGTACCCGCCATCATCAGACGTGTTGCGCTAGCTCTGGCCCTCCTGGGGTGCCCGCCGCCATGAGAGCTAGTTGCGCTAGTTCTGGCCCTCTCAGGGTACCCGCTGCCACCAGACGTGCTACGCTAGCTATGGTCCTCTCGGGCTACTCGCCACCATTAGATGTGTTGCGCTAGCTCCGGCTTTCCCAGGGTACCCGCCGCCCGCCGTGGACCATGACGTGAAGTAGGTCTCGGCTCCTTGTGATGCATAGCATGGAGAGGCGGGGAACCTTTCTATTACGTAAACCCCGGACGGCATTGACGAAAAAACCACAACGCATTGACGCCCAGCTTGGAACGTTAACAGGGTCATTATCCTTGGTTCCAGAACCACGCCAAATATTTGACGCATTATCTGAACTGATGCTAGAAATACCTTGATTACGCAACAACACAAACGGACAATATCAGAGCAAAAACAGGCATAACACTCCAAATTGTGGTGGCATGACTAGAAGTACGCCTTTCGTTGGATTAACCGGCACATGCGTCGGAAGTCCAGACTCTCCTTTGCGCTCCACCCGGGGACTGCAGAAGCCCCCTCACCGCTAACCTTGCCGATTTCGGATATAAGACGGCGCCGGCAGCCGCAGGGCTGGGCAGAGTGCCCACCAATCAGCTCGGGGTATGTGGCGGTGGGGCAGCGTAATGTGGGCACACGGACACATTCGGGTTACGCAGACCACCCACCAATCAGCGGCACGCGCTTACGTGGGCATGAAATGAATAATTAATTAGCGGGCATGCCTGTCAAAGTCAAGCGTCTTGTAACTTAGAGTATAAGTGCATCAGAGTGCACATTGCAGAGGTTACGCCGGGGCTTCAGTAGATGTCTTCGGCCAGGGGCTGTCTGAAAGCTGGGCGAGCTCATCTGGCATATGATTCGGCACATTCGTTATTCCTGTCTAAGCCGGTGGTCAATGCGTCCAGTATCGCTGAAACGCTGATCAAATGCGGCCGCGTGGCTTCATCGTTGACGAAGGTGGCGTTGGCTGGCGGGAGATGCTCCCCACGTCTGGCGTTATGCCGCCGTAAAAACAATGTTCCTTCACCCGGCGGGTCAAGTCGAAGCCATGGATTGCTCGGATTGTTCGCTTTCGCTGTCTATCAAAGTGACGGACACCGACTGGGGGATCCGAGATCTGATCATTGCCTAATGAAATGAATGCAATGAAACGCCCAGGTTCATTCACAATACGAAAGGCATTTGGAAAGTGAGGTAAAATGCATGCACCAGCGTGAGGCAACAACCCAAGCTACGAAATCGGATTTCTACACACAGACTCTCTCTCTCTCTCTCTCTCTCTCTCTCTCTCTCTCTCTCTCTCTCTCTCTCTCTCTCTCTCTCTCTCTCTCTCTCTCTCTCTCTCTCTCTCTCTCTCTCTCTCTCTCTCTCTCTCTCTCTCTCTCTCTCTCTCTCTCTCTCTCTCTCTCTCTTTTCCCCACTCTTCCACCTGACCACGCCCACCCATGTTGGATGGAATAACTTCTTATCTGGCCTTTTGCACGCATATGGAACTAGTCTGGTGTTTCCATGATGGTATTTTTACTGACTTGACGCTGATATATCGTGTATGGAAAATCACGTGTGGGGTAAGAGCTTGTTACACGGCTCAGTATTGTGCAACATCATCACGACTTCGAGTTCGCATAGCCAGACCGTTATTCATGAACGCGGCGATTCTACTCCATGTTTGCGCAATTTTTAAGAATCGCGCAGTTGGTGAAGTTGGAAAAATTTATCGAATGAAAAAACTGGTAATAGTCCATAACTTAACGAAGGCGGTGATGGATAGTATCTTTTAGACGTCCTTTGCACTAAATGACCAACACTCAGCAGGTTGTCCTGATCACGAGCTGCTTTACGGGAGAGTCGCACATAAAAAAGAAGTAATAATGCAAACTTCACAGAGAAGCATTTCAGCATTGGCTGAATACGGTCTTAATTTCAAACCTGTATACCGAGGATTTTCTGGTGGTCTGCCATATTTACCAGCATTCTCATACCGATGCAGGCAAAGCCTTCGTAACACAGTGCGTGCAGTCGCCGCTAAAATCCGGCTCGTCTATCAATGGCGGCTCGTTTCCTACCCCGAGCTCGTAGAGCTGCGCAACCGCCTCCTTATTTGGCCTTGGTCGACCTCGTCAATCGGGTACTGCCCACGTCAGTGTCCGAGAAGTCTCTGGAAACCGCGCGTAAACCCACGCACTCGGCCAGGCGTACAGCTGCAGACAGGGCTGGGCCGTGCCGTGGCGCCGCGCGGCGGGTGCGCCCGACGCTCGGGGCGCTCCACGCCCCGGCGGCGCGACCCGGCCCGGCCCGTGCGCCACGAGGGGCGTCGCCGGCGCGCTCGTGGCGTATGTGCGCCCACGCCGCCCGGCGGCGGCCGCGACCGGGTCCGCTATCGCCTTACTCAGCGGCGCGGCCCGCCACCTGGAGTCCTGCGGCCTTACATGGAGCCGAGATGCGGCGTTGGCCATGTCTGGACGTGCGAGCTGGCGCTGACGGCGGGAGGCCAGGGCCTGCTCCGCGGTGCTGGCTCGGCGCGAGGCGCGCGAGGGAAACTCGAGGAAATGCCTCGCGGTTTCTGGGTTGTCGGGTCACCGCATTGCGATTAACCGACGTCAAGGCTTCCTGGGCGCTTTCCATGGCTTCCTGCATGCGGATGTTTCAGCGGATGCCGCCTTGCTATTTATATGCGTGATTTGCTGCTGGAACCACATGTCCAGTGTTGTTTGTGGTCTACTAGGTAGCACACATACAGTGAACCGCACATGAGGCCCCGTCTCTTCTTTCCATGAAAAGCGTGAATCAAACGTGGGCTATGTACATGACATTGGATGCCGGTTTGACCAGTCCTTAAAAACAAAAACAAAACTGTATTACACGACCCTTAAGCGTTGACGTTGAAGGCAATGTGCGCCCTAACTATAAAATGTTGTTTTACAATTTCGTTGTTCCGGTTTCTGACGGGGGGGGGGGGGGGGGGGAGGCGGGGTGTGGATCGTAAGTTGTTTTGGGCTCCTGGCTTCAGCTTTTCTGCTGTCCGAGCTCAGACGCTAGCCGATTTGATAAGAACCCAAAACCACCGGATTTGCACGGTATTTCAGGTGAGCCGAGGGGAAAACATTGACACTATTGGAAACCACACGTAGATATGGCGATATCGTTCATTGGTTTGGTTACGTGCGACAGCCAACACGATTTTCGCTGTTCACAGAGGAAATCGACCCATGATTAATCCATAGGCCAAGACATTCGATATATCAGGGAAATGCTATCGATAGCTTTGCACTTTCACGTTTGTTTACAAATCGATGTGTATGTCGGTTTCCTTTCATTCATTCAGGTCGAGCAGTGAAGCGCATTGTCTCGCACCACGAGGATGACATTGTGTACAAAAGTGATATCATACCCCACGAAACACTTTAATCCAGCGGTCAGCGACGATCCACTCGAGGCGAAGGGTGTGAGGGACTGGTCCGGAAGGCAGATAGTCTGCTTGACGGTGCGTATGATCTTTGCCGTCCGGCTCGCTTTAGCCCACCGCTGTGAGCCGGACGACGAAGATTTCACGTCACGTCACATAGATTCTTTGCCGGACGCGCAGAATTCTTTCAGCGTGTTTGGACACTCTGAGACAGCGGTGGCGCGAACATTTCCAGTAGAGGCGAGGACAGAATATGCGGTACATAATGTTGTAAAGACGCGTCACTCGGGTCACGCAAGACGTGGCTTAGTTTGTTGTAAGCTTTGATATCGACTTTGATGTCAATTTGTCAGCCAGTGATAAGGAATGCTTTAAAATAGTGGCACATCAGGAAAATCGCTTCAACCTATACACGACATACACGATATCATAAAGCGACTCAAGGAAGTTACAACCCATGACCCCATGTAGATTCAGTGTCATTCCGCACCTAAAATTAGTACGGCTTGCGCTACCGATTTGACCTTAAATGTCTTACGTGGTGTCTCGATTGCATTGGCAGCCAGCCGCCAGCAGGATATGTCCCGCATCCATTTTGTGGTCTTTCTTAAGGTCGAGAGGTAACGAAACGTAACTCAGGTAACCTATTCAGCGCGATGCAAAGGGCATGGTAATTTATGGACCGAGGCGCGTGAGTCACGAGTTCCTGCTTGCCACGACAAAGCCCCACGTACGGGCCGTCCGAAACCGAATCTTGCAATGTTGACCATGGCAGAGCAAGGGAGACAAACAGCTTTTCTTTGCGTTGCATCGGCTCGTGACGCGTTGCAAGATGCAACTGTGAGAATGGTATGCGAGACACAATGGAGGATTTCGTGGTTTCTGAACGGTGGCTGGTGTCGGGTATTTCCAGATGCGACACACGGTGTAAATGTCCGCAGTGACGAATGCCGGCTCGGCGAGGCATCTGATCTATGCGATCTCACCTCGCCTTGGCGACAAGGGCTTTGTGAACTCGGCGTGTCGAATGACCCTGTGTGACCTTTGCGCCACCGGTGACTGCATACGTGATCGCCATCGATTCAAAGTGGTTTCTTTCCCGGTTTGCAGCGCTGGACAAGGGCAACGTCACTGTGCGGGAGCAGATCTTTAAGCTGCTGACGGCGCTCTGCTACTACAACAATGACGGCTATCAGCGAACACTGGACGCTCTTCAACACCACCGGGTAAGCATCACTAAGCCAATGCTGCACAATTAAGCGTGTAATAGTTACGCGTTTTGTTCCGTCGACGGGTGGACGTGTGAGACCGGTCGACATTTTATGATTGTATTGCGCTATGGCTGCTAAAACGCGCGAGTATACCCTCAGGGAAACTGGGATATTCACGCCGATAAGCTGCTCCATCCAGTCATGCACACCTAGCATCGTTATACATGCACACTTAAGATACATTGAATAACGCGACACACTTAATAACAGCCTGCATTTGTTCCAAGCTCGGGTTAGCGCCTTTAGCCGGCTCGTCGTGAGATAGTCCGGTTGCCCCTCGAGGTGCGGTCGCGTCGCACGCGGCTAGTGACAGTCAGACCTGTGAGCAGTTCGTATGACAGCGGTATTTCCGTTTTAGGATCTGCGCAAGGAGAGGTATCGGTTCAGGATCGTCGTGGAGGAGCTGCGCGGCGCCCAGTCCAGCAGCTACCGCACCACTCTCATGGCCTTCACCAATTGCGTCATCAAATGCACCGCCGACATCAAAGAACGGGTCACCATCAGGAATGAGTTCATTGGTGAGTTTACCGTTTGGAGATTGAAGACTGATGAAATGATTGCGATCCAAGAATGCACGCCTTCACTGCGCATTCTGTCGATATTCGTGTTGATCAACTGCATGCGCTGGCTGCAGATTTTTTGGCATTTCTTGTGCACGCGACGTGCCCTGGAAACCAAACAAAAAGTGAGCAAGATTGAACTCGTCCGTTGAATGCGTGAATGTGCCATTCAACCGCAAATCACTTGTTCTCACTCAGAACTTCCTTTTTCCCGCAAGCAGCCTCGTGATGTTTATGCGGGTGGTCTAACAGATAGCAAGCAAGAGAAAGATAAGCTCAGGTCCGGGGCGTTTAACTGAGCTCGCCGATAGTGCAGCTACCGCGTCCGAAACAAACTGGACGTTATTTGTATCGACGTCCCGTGCGCCTCGCCTCCCGGGAAAACAAACACGGGGTATCACAGAGGCTGTGTGCCCCCGTCCGGGCCCAACCATCTGATCGAATCCGCATGAAGCCCGGCCGTGCAGGCCTGCCACCCGGATAAGCCTTCAGCGGGCGGGCGGCTTTTTCCCTCGGTGCTGACCGCTGGGAGACGAGGTGGCTGACCTTGGCTGGTATGCATTCCGGGAGACAGAGACGAGCTCGCAGAGGCGCTGACGTAGTCTGTGGCAGAGACGCTGGTCAGCGGCAGAGGCACTGACCAGGGGCAGAGATTCTGCCCGCTATCAAACGTGTGAAGAGGGCTAATTACTTTTACATTCGTCTAAATTAGGTATGAAATAAATACTGTTAAATTTGATGATGAAATGCTTAATTTAGGTGACAAATGGTGAATAGCCAGGTGATGTTTATCGCCGTAATGATGGCAATTGTGTACCTTTTTATGCTGTGATGATTGGCGTAATTGTCAATTATTTCATAATTGTATTTGAACAAAAGATTGCGCTCGAATAGCACTGGTCACGCTCAGGCCAGTGCAGCGATGGCCTGTAATGCAGAATATGAATGTGCGTTCTGCTGCGGCGATCTGTCAGATATACAGCATTCAACCACGAGTAGTTCATCAATAACTCAGCCACGCCTGTCATACATCTTTTGCTCTTTCACTGCATGCGAGGTCCAAATCAGCTCGTCACTATTGGATGTATCCATAATCGGATTAACCTCGCTGTCGTTACCATTTCGTAGGTCTGAAGTTACAGGAGCTATCAGTGATATGCTAACCCCACCGCCGTTCTCAGGCATGAAGCTGTAGATTATGCTGATAATCAAAGCCGATGCCATCACCATCTTCAGGTCTCAGGCTATCAGAGCAGTGAGGGAATACCCCCCCCCCCCCCCGCCCCCCCCCCCCCCCCAGATTGCCTCCACGTTCTTACAGGACTGAGGTCGCTGCTGCTGGTCTGGGCTAACCCCACCACCGTCCTCAGGCCTGATCCTCCTGGATACGCTGGTGACCTCGACTAGCCGTATGACCGTATCACCGGCATGACGCTGCTGGAGACCCGACTAACCCTGGCACCGCTGCGCAGGTCTGAAGCTGCTGGAGGTGCTGAACGGCCTGCGGCAGGATGTACGGCCTGGCTCGGAGCTGGCGCTGGAGCTGGAGGCGTTCGATGACCAGCGCGAGCAGGACACTGCCGAGCTGACCGGAGCTCATAGTGTCGACCTCAACTCGCCGCTGGACGTCTTTTACAAACTCTACGATATGGTGCGTGCGATTATACCCTGGCACCGCACGGGAGCCATGCGGTGTGTAGCGGCACTGCGGTCCGCAGCATGAGTTATATGGAGCCGCGGAATGGTTGATGTCTTAGTTTGGGATTTTTGGCATGCACGTGCGTTCTCCATGCCTGGCTGTCTGATGAATAGCTGGTACCTGTTTTTACTAATGTCACTTTAAATCACATCTCGAAACTGCAAGGAATGATGAACAGTGGAGCTGGAATGCATGAGAGGCGTTGTCTGGTGTCGCTAGGGTTCGAAAACTTCCCTCGTGTTTGCAGTAGCATGGTGTGTTTTACCGATGCGTTCCATCATGAAAAGTCGCAACGTTTCCTCTCCTCAAATATTGCTTGCCGTGTCTGCAGGACAACTAACATAACTAAACGGCGCTTCGACTGTGCACAGTACCATCATAGAATATCAACCGTGGTATGCTGAGGGAGAGCATGTTTTATCACGTAAAAAATAAGCTGGCAGTGTTACACAAACTGCTGGATTGGTCGGACGGGAGGCGCCGGTTCTGTCTGCCCCCCCTCCCGCCCCCCTCCCTGGCGGGTGTGAGAAATCGGCGTCATATGCAGCGTGTTCCCTCCGCCGCAGGTGGCGGAGACTCCCCAGGAGATCGCGTTCCTGGCCATCCTGCAGCACCTGCTGCGAATCGACACGAAGGAGTCCATCTCGGACGTGATGTGGGACACAGCCGAGACGCTCGTGTACCGCGCGACACTGCTGGAGAGCAAGGAGGACTCGCAAAAGCTGCTGAAGACGCCCAGCCACCACAAGAGCCTGCACCGGCTCAAGTCGATGGACGCGAAGAAAACGTCCGTCACCGAGATCAAGACCGACACCTGCGATGCGAAGCCGTCCGCTCCGGCGGGCGAGGCCCAGCCGCCGCCGCCGCCGCCGCCGCCCCCGCCGCCGCCGCCGCCTCCGCCCGGCGGGGGTCCCCCGCCGCCACCGCCGCCGCCGCCGCCCGGTGGCGGGCCGCCACCGCCGCCGCCGCCGCCCGGGAGCCGGCTGGTGGCGCCCGGAGCTGCCACCTCCGAGGCGGAGAAGGTGACGCTGCCCCAGCAAACTACGCCCAAGCCCGGCTCGAGGATGAAGACCATCAACTGGAACAAAATTCCAAACAGCAAGGTGCGTGCCTGTCTGCTTGTCCAGCGTTGCAGTATTTGTGCGTAAGGATTGGCAGGTTGTTGCTTATCTTGTACTGAAGAAGATAGACGTGCTGGAAGTACGTGGGCATGATAGTAATTTCCGTGACGGATTGTTTGTGCAATGGAGATATAAATAGCTTTAAGATAAGATCATAGTTTAAGCCACAGCACTAAAATATCTGAAACGAACATTTATCCACGCAAAGATTTCCGTCAACAACCACACATTGACCACGCCATGGGCATCTTGTTCATTTCAGGTTGTTGGAAAGAAGAACATCTGGAGCCGACTGGCGTCCAAGTTCAAATCGAAACCGATGCCGGAGCCGGACTGGAAGGATCTGGAAGGCCTGTTCTGCCAGCAGGCTCAGGCCCCGGCCAAGCAGTCACCGCAAAATCAACAGGAGCCGCAGAAGAAGAAAGAATCGAATGAGGTATGCTTACGAGTGAAGGTTGCGCTGACTTCATTTATACCAGGCTCACGGCGTCAGTTGAAACCATAAGAGCAGTATAAAATAAGCGAAGGAACAGTCGTACTGGGTCATTATGACGCCATGCATAGACGTCTGGCAACTGCGTGATCGGAGCCTATTGTCTCCCTGCCTCCAGCAAGCTCTCATGGTGTTAATATGATCACATCGTTTGCTTGTCTTCAAACAATTTTAGCAGTTTTACTTGGTGATGAATTTTTATTGGAACTTTCCGACATCGCGTTGTTGATTTCGAAAATACATGAACATTTGGCGCGTTTTTGTATGGCCAAATGCATAACTACTGCCGGTAAACTTCAGCGTCAGTGTTGAATAGCGCTGGGCAAAACGATGTCAGATGGCTTGTAATTTGTTTAATCGGTGTTTCATTTCCAAACGCAACAAAGATTCCCATGCTGAACGAATATCACTACCCTTAAAACAACTTAATATCGCAACTTTCCACCAATTTCTCTATTTGTTATGCAGCTTAGATAGCATAACATTTCCTTTCCTTCGACAGGTCAATCTGTTCGACGGCAGACGCAGCCTGACCATCAACATCTTCCTAAAGCAATTTAAAAAGTGAGTACCATCCTTTTGCAGCTGTTCGAATCGTCGTGTGTCGCCGGCGCGTGCCCCCACTTTTATGTGCGGAAGCGACCTCGACCTTCCATGTGCAAGTTTGTACGCCTGTATGTCTTCCTTCATGTGCCGGCCACCTGGGCCGTTCAGCACCGGCGTCGGGCTGCCCGTCCGTCGTGACACTCTCAGCCCTTCAGCGGTGCGTCGTCACCCTGCAAACGTTCATGCCATGTTGTTTAGCATCGGGGGAGGGGAGGGGAAGGGCAAACTCCGATCGCAGACGCGCGTGGAGGTACAATCGGCCGTCGCGGCGTTAGGCATATATACTCAGACTGCAACGTCTTGATTGCGCGACCGTGCAGCAGAGAACCACATGTTATCAGTTTATCGGACGCTATGGACGCCTTAAGGCGTGTGCATAGCAACGATAACCGACAGCTTGATCGGCTTTTCCCATGAGTTTGGGTGGTGTTAGCCTTCCCGGAACCAAAAGTCCCAATTTTATGACAGTCATGATAACACTAGACCTGTTGAAGAGGTCGATTAACTCCGGTATCGTAAAAGTCGACACATCCATATCATTCGTCCTATTCTGCTAACCCACGCATTCAGGGTTGGCAGCAATTGTGACCTACTCAGAAAACGCTGCAATGTGATGTCAGAGCCGTACTTACATTGCCACCCCTCAAATACATTCGACGATGACGCTCAGTCCGTTTGAGAATCCGGCTTTCTCAAACTTGTTGAGGCTGCAGCGCTCTCTCGCATCACAAGAGCGGTTGACACGACGGCAAAAAGGGCTGTGAAAAAGCGGTCTTATGAAGCCGCGCGGTTGCGGCGAAATTTCCCAATTCGCGCGCGAACAGCTGCCGAAACCTTCAGACTTCTCATCGCATCCTTTGAGCACGTCTTAAGTGTTGTAGGAGACTGCCCAAAGCATCATCAACGCGGGCGGCCCATACGTGGCAAGCGGCCGAACAGCGTCAGGGCGCGTGTTGTTGGTGAGTGCATCGAGCGCTGAATGCGCCCGTCACAAAGCTTTGTTGGCCATCTTTGCAACAGGGCCTCTTAGTTTCGCAGATGTGGAAACGGGCCAACATAGTGCGGACATTTAAGAAGGATGTTAAGGACCTTTTATTTCTAGTCTTAGACCTTTTCACCCGGCATTTTTACGCTTGCGACTAAACTGGTATCAATGTGAAATGCACATAAGCTGGGATAATCATGAACAAAGCCCCCTGTTTGTCGTCAGGTCTATTAAAAGAGACAGTTTTTGGTTACGGAAGTGTTTTTCTTGTCATTATGTACCAATTTGCCATTTTATGCTTACAAATTTGGTCCCATGGGATCAAACACAAAGTACCGCAAACGTGAAATGACGAATAGATCCATGGTGACGAAACAAAATGTTTCGGGTCGATTAAAATTTGCCACTTTTCATGGACCTGACGACATTTCATGGATTTGGCTTCTGTTCGTCCTAGCCTTCGTGCATCTCTGTCCCGGTACCAAATTAGGTTCCAGTCCGATGACGCCGGCGTGGAAAGCGCTTTGATCAAGATATTGGAGCGACTCGTTTTCACCTCGCTTGTTAGACACGTTCAAGCCATCTTATCTGACCGACCGCGCTTCTCGGTCGTTCAGTCGTTGTACAGACTAACAGGTCGTTCGTGCGTCGCAGGTTTAGTTGTTACGCTGCGCACAGCATGGGTCAACACGCACGTCGGTCCTGCAGAAAAATGGCACGCAGCGATTACATTTTGATCGGTCGGAGCGCATGCCAAACATTTCCGTTCCACAAACTAACCAGCTAGGGCAAATCATACACAACTGATCGTCAGTGGTTAGTTGTGAGCGTCCACGCTCATTAGGGATTCTCATGACATCTGGAACACCAGAAAGCAGTTATAAGCTCCCCCACAGTAGATGTTTAGATCATGGCAGGCACACATATAGAAAGAGTGGGGGCCATGAGTGGACCTTAGTGACTTGCTCTGCAAAAAAAACAACACACTTTTCATGTAGCTCGCATTATGCTATGGGAAGCAAACATGGCCCTTGAATTTTTTTAATGTTTTTTTTTTAACCGGTTAAAATGGTACATATTGTGCGAGTGTAGAGAAGGTCCACCTCGGCCTCGTATTGTGCAAATGTGACGTCGATTCTCGAGTGCTAGCGTGTCGTTTGAGTTGGGTTTGAGGTGGTGCAGCCGCCTTGCGTTTGAACAGCTCTGACTTTGCCACATCACGATCAGCCTGCCTTTTTGTCAATTCATGGCGCATCGCCACAGGTGTAGGGACGAGAAGGGGGGGGGGGTATGGCGACGCATGGAAATAATTGACGTAAAAATCGGATTTGGCACCCACACTTTCTGAGGCGTGCCTTTCCTCATTTGTATCGTTGTGCTGTTTTACGCCTGTTGACCTTGTACTGATTTATTGTCTTGTATCCTTTTATTGGCCACAATGTGCAGCTATAAGGCTTGAACTATCATCCACTTTACCTTGTAACTACGTGCATCACACGTCGATAATCAGGCAATGAACTGAAATGGAAACTTGAGATGAAGTTCCTGCCAACACCCAACGTAACTTGCTTCACATCAGGCATGGGGCTTGCACAGCGTGACTTCACTGAACATCAGTTTGATCGATGCTCTTCGATGTCGGGCGAGAGCCATGACCCGCTGAATATCCTGCCCACTCAGTCTCTCCGACGATAAACGAGTCCTGAGAGCGATGAGGCCGGGACGCGCCTTCTGTCTGGGGCGGACCACACCCTTTCCTCCCCCTCCCCCACGGACCGTCTTTGTCTCCGTACTGCTGATGAGTCACCGAACCTGAATGACTCCAGCCAGCAGCCGTCCAAAAACCTAAGCAGACTGATGCTAGCACGGTGCCCTTGGAAACGGCAAAAACTTTTGATGACACATGGCTTCTTTTTGAAGAGGCGTGGGCAGCCGGGGCGTCACGCGAACAAATTTAGCCCGTCAGTGCTTCATGCAATATCCTTTGCAATGCCGCGGGGCACTGGGAACTGCCGGCTTCCTCTCGAGACTTGTGATGTCCGATATGGCTGCTGGCGGGCTGCGGCAGCGTCGCCAGCGTGCAGCCGTGGTCTGGGTGAGGAGCGGCCGAGTGTCCCCGGCTCCAGAGGGATGTAGCCGCGCAGCCGTGGTCTGGGCGTGGAACGGCCGGGTGTCCACGGCTTCGACCTGGTCTGGGCGAAGAGTGGCCGAGTGTCCCCGGCTCCAGAGGGATGCAGCCGTGGTCTGGGCGAGGGGCGGCCGAGTGTCCACGGCTCCAGAGGGGTGCGGCTGTAGTCTGGGCGAAGGGTGTCCGAGTGTCCCCGGCCCCGGCCTGGTCCGGGCGAGGGGCGGCCTCTGGTGTCCCCGGCCCCGGCCTGGTCCGGGCGAGGGGCGGCCTCTGGTGTCTCCGGCTCTGGCCTGGTCCGGGCGAGGGGCGGCCTCTGGTGTCTCCGGCTCCGGCCTCTCTGGACGCCTCGCATGGCCGACGCCGGCCCGCTGGGGCCGTGTTTTGACAGTTCCGTCCAGCCGGCACGGCGGGCATGCATCACTGTTTACGGGCGCGGGCCGGGTTCACGCGGGGTCAGCGGCGCGCCGGTGCCGCTGTGAAGTGAGAGTGAGGCCAAGGCCGTACTCCGCGGGCGGACGGGGCGCCGGCGGCTCCCGTCCGACCTCCCGCGCCGCCCCTGCCGGCTCCCGTTCGATGGAGCGGTCTCACTCAGGGACGTCCCTGACGCACTCCGTCTCCCCAGCGTCTCCTGACGCTCGCATCTTGGGCGGCTCCTGACGCAGTTCGTCTGCTGAGCGGCTCTCGGTGTGGTCCGTTTACCGAGTGTCACCTGATGCAGTTCGTCTCCTGATGTAGCTCGTCTCCTGAGAGTTCCCGGCGTGGTCCTTTTCTCGGTCGTCTAGCGAGGTCCGTCTCTCAGGCGTTCCTTTCGTCCGTCCTTCGGGTATTGGCTGACGTTTCTCATCTCCCGTGAGTCTCCTGACACGATCCGGCTCAGGGACGTCTATCGATGTCCGTCTCCCATGCATCTCCTGACGTGGTTCGTCTCTTGAGCCTTTCCTGACGTCGCCATCTTGCCAGCATCTTTTCACGTGGTCCGCCTCTGGGGCGTCTTTCGACGTACTGTTTCTCCTGGGTGTGTTCTGCCATACTTTGCACATCATCCACATCGCACGTTGTGGGTCTGTTTAATCTTTAACTCCTAGCATGCTTTTGACCATTCGGGAGGTTACGACCAACCTGAAATCAAGTCCTTTATGCGCGCTAAGCTCTCGTGCGTCCCTGTTCACCGGGTATTATAAAGGGGCACGCGCCGGAGCTCATTCGGACACATGTCCGCAACACGGACCGCCAGATGCCAACGTCTCCTGGGTAACTGTACGCCAGAGATGTACTGTGGATGCCAACGTCTCCTGAGTAACTGTACGTCAGAGATGTACTGTAGATGCAAACGTCTCCTGAGTAACTGTACAAAGTTAGCTGCCGCCTTGAACCGCCGGTTGGTGAGGTGCCGTGTCATGGCGGCGAGTCTTCGCCGACCCGTCAGTCATCCTCTCAGCAGCTTTTGTTTCGGGGTTTACGAGCCATTGTGCTGTCGTTGGGTGAACCAGGGGAGCTGTCAGCGCCTCAGATACGGCAGGGAGTCGCAGTCTGAAAACAGACACCCGTGCAGCTTCTGTCAAGGGCGAGCCATTTAGCAACCTTTGTTCGGGGCTGCCCAACAGGTAGTAACTTAGCATAAGTATTCTGCGCAATAACAGCTTCGGCATCTATACACCACTCACGTGAATTATGTGCGCGCACTTTTGCAAACTGATTCGGTGAACGTCACGGGGGAGCTCTGTATGCTGAGTTTGGTCTTGGCTACCCGCAGCGGTCGTTTAGACAGCAAGGTTTTGAATAAGTGCGGAACTTCAGAGTGTTTGGACTAAGACCTTTATTTGCGCGTGTTGCTATTCCAAAGCC